GATGGATGGATGTATGTATGTACGCATGCATGTATGTATGTATGTATGTATGTATGCATGTATGTATGTATGTATGTATGGATAGATGGATGGATGTATGTATGTACGCATGCATGTATGTATGTATGTAATGTATGTATGTATGTATTTATATACGCATGTATATACGCATGTATTTATATACGCATGTATGTATGCATGTATGTATGTATGTATGTATGTATGTATGTATGTATGTATGTATGTATGGATGTATGTATGTACGCATGTATGTATGTATGTATGTAATGTATGTATGTATGTATTTATATACGCATGTATATACGCATGTATTTATATACGCATGTATGTATGTATGTATGTATGTATGTATGTATGCATGTATGTATGTATGTATGTATGTATGTATGTATGTATGTATGTATGTATGTATGTACGCATGTATGTATGTATGTGTGTATGTGTGTATGTATGTATGTATGTATGTATGTATGTGTATGTATGTATGCATGTATGTATGTATGTATGTATGTATGTATTCCCAATCACGTTAAAGACTCCCCCTCTATCATCCAGTTTAAGAGAAAAACAACTATGTACTAAATAATCGACCCCTTGTAACTTTAATTATGCTGACCTTCCTGTCTGTATTCAGACTGAGCTTACCATCATTAGAGGTGATTATAACGCTAGACATAGGAACATTGGTAATTCGCAGTTCAGTAATCGTAACGGCAACCAACTGGTGTCACTATTAGGTAGTCACGATGATGCACAGATTGTGGGTGACCTTGAACCGACGAATATCTACGGAGGTATTCCTGATCTATGTCTCGGTTTCAACGTCTCCCACACCGGGTGCGCCTCGTCAATAGTGCCAGTTATGGCGTCTGATCATCTGCCCATATTAGCCACTGTAAGCATTGGCAGCTCTATCCTCCCTGGTGGAGTGTTCAAGCGGAAGAGGCTGGCTGTGCCCATCGATCAACGAGACAATCTTGTTGCTCATGTGTCAGAATGGTGCAGTCATCTGAGCCTTCATCAGTTGAAGATTTTAACAATGAGCTCACAGGTACTATCAACCAGTTTATAGAATCACTTGATCCATCGTCCAGGCCACGTAACCCAAATTACACTGGTCATAGCACTTATGTTTATTATAATGATTCTAAATTGCAGACACTAAAACGCACTGCCAGAATAATTGGACTAGCTTGTAGAAGGACCCGCACTGCTGAAATGCTTCGGCTCTTTCAAGCGGCTCTGGCTAAGGCCAGGGAACGTATGGTGGAGCTGAGGCAGACAGACTGGGAAACTTTTGTCAGTGGTCTCAGTTCTCACGCGCCACTAAGTCGGGCATGGAAGGATATCAACAAGATCAAAGGGAAAAATGCTGCAGAGATCTCGTACCCTAATCCTCTGCACAGAGCAAATGAGCTTGTTGATGCTTGGGCCACGACTTCCAGCTTTGACAGTCCTCCATATATGTCAGTTGCTTAAATTATAAACTGTACTTGTGGTCGGTCTCGAGCCCATTGTTGATGTGACAATGTGTATTGACTTTTGTAACTAGCTTATCAAGATTATAACTTGCTTGGCTATATGAATTGTGGGCTCATTCCCTGAGCCCATTATGTGCCTCTGTAACACTCCACTATCGTCCATAGGATGGGTATGGAGTGCATAATAAATGAACTAAACTAAGCTCTGCCTTTTTGATAACATATACAATTATTAGCTTTATTTGTGAATCTCAATTAATTAAACAATACAGGTATATCACAGAGCCTGTAGGGTTCGGTGAGATGAGCGAAGAGACATGGGAGATTTTACATAAGTACAGTACATGGTAGTTTAAGTAGCGAACGCATGTCAACGAATAACGAGTATATATAACAAAACCATTGTCCTATGAAGTCGATTTAACTTCCAAACATATATTTTTTAATTAATGTTAAATGTTTTCTGGCTAGTTATGTTAGATTTTATTAAAAATACGTATTCTACTTGTTAACATTATAATTTAAATTTGTGATAATTTGAGCAGAGAAGTGCGACAACTGGATATGCCAACAAACACTTTCCAAACAACGATATATCTTGGATAAGTCGCTCCACAACATTGCTGCTTGGACCATCGACTTCCTTTGATGCTACTTATTTCATAATGAAATTATATTAGTTTGGAGTAAATATATGTTTTCTCATGTTCTGCATTCAGCACCCACATTATAGTGAGTAAATATACCATATTACTTCATTACTTAAATAATGCTAGGAGGGTTTGAGTAGCTTTGGGTATTTAGTGCACAGAATCTCCAATAGATGGGGCGAGAGTCGCCCCATCTCTCTCACCCGAGAGAGAGTCGAAACTTAATTTAAAATTGATATATCTTTGTTCTCGAACATGATATATTTCATTTGGTGCAATTATAATAATGTTCATATATCGGTCTTTCTGGAGGCATATAAGATTTTAGGCTTTATTAGCGTATCTTTGTTAATTATACAATATATCGGCAAGTGCGTAGGCGTCTGCACTCCATGCCCGACAAGCTACTGAGCGCTACTATAAAAACATATGTATCTTCACTTGAGCTATAAATATGTCTATTGTAATGTATTTAAAATGAAGCTCTTATTTCTATCTTGCTTAAGACTTATAAAACATTTGTGTTTATTAACGAATTTACGTGAAATAAACATTGATCTGAGAGAGAGTTGCTCTGTCGTTCAGTCTGTACGGGGTGGGAGCTCCGTAATTTTTAAAATACAATAATCTTCATTAGAAATTTAAATATGTCTATAGTAAAGTGTTTAAAGTGAAGCTTATATGTCTGTCTTTCTTGAGACATATAAAACATATATGTTTACTAACGAATTCACGTGAAATAAACATTGTTCTGAGAGAGAGTTGCTCGGTCGATCGATCTGTCCGGGGTCGGAGCTCGGCTATTATAAAAGTACACGTATCTTCGGTTTAAATTTAAATATGCCCATGGTAAGGTATTTAGAATGAAGCTTATATTTCTATCTTTCTTGTGACATATAAAACTTTTACGTTTATTAAGGAATCTGCGTGAAATAGGCATGGTTCTGAGATGAATGCTGCGGTTTTCGAGCTCGACGCGCGGCAATGGACGCCATATACACATCCAGTGGGTGTTATTGGACCCCATACCCATTTTATGGGTGGTTGGAGCCCCATACCCATTCTATGGGTGGTTGGAGCCCCATACCCATCCTGTGGGTTGTAGTGGACGCCATACTCATCCTGTGGTGGTATTGGACCCCATACCCTTCCTGTGGGTGGATGTGATCCCCATACTCATCCTGTGGGTGGTATTGCACCCCTTACTCACCTAACAGGTGGTAGTGGACAATATACCGATCCGGTAGTTGGTATAGTAGACACAATACCATCCTGTTTAGAGTAGTTTACCCCATAGACATTCCAATGAACCATCGTTTTCTGTTAGCGTTCCTACAAAACATCCTTTAAAGATTTGTAAAGCACCAACTATGGTATATAATATTGATTGGTGAAGGACTGTTATTCTATGTAATAATTTTTAGTGCTTATTATAATTTACTAAGAACAACTAATATTTCTCAAAACAAAACTACGAACCTTCAATAGGAAGTAGCTGATCTATAATATTCTAAGAGCATGGACAATAGTAGGTAAATTTCACAACCCATGTGGGACCTGAAAAGTACAATTTTCCTTATAATTGAACCAATCACGACTATTCTGCTATCTAGGTTGACGGACGGGTACTGTGAGACGCAAGTTGGTACGTGAGGAAGAGTTTGGGCCTTGGAAAAAAAAGTAACTGGGAATATATCACATATTTACTAATTCATATTCAACATATTGACTTTAAGCATTAAGTCATATATGTGCTGTCTTGTGTGAGAACGGGTTGTATATGGGGTTATCTTGAGGTTATCTTGATGAATTCGGGGCTTTCAGTGTCCCCGCGGCCCGGTACTCAACCAGGCCTCCACCCCCAGGAAGCAGCCCGTGACAGCTGACTAACACCCAGGTACCTATTTTACTGCTAGGTAACAGGGTGGGGAACAGAGATGTGGATCCAGTATCTGAAATTTCCTTCCCTCTTGGGTGCCGGTCGGCCGAGCGGACAGCACGCTGGACTTGTGATCCTGTGGTCCCGGGTTCGATCCCGGGCGCCTGCGAGAAACAATGCGCAGAGTTTCTTTCACCCTATGCCCATGTTACCTAGCAGTAAAATAGGTACCTGGGTGTTAGTCAGCTGTCATGGGCTGCTTCCTTGTGGTGGAGGCCTGGTCGAGGACTGGGTCGCAGGGACACTAAAGCCCCGAAATCATCTCAAGATAACCCCCCTCTAAATGCAAAAGTAGCCTTTGATCCAGGTTCTGTATCTCTGCACGACATAGACAGTAAAGATTGGTTTGTATGGCTGTGTGGAGTGTGATCAGAGTAAATCGGCAACAGAAAACCTGGAAGAGGAGGAAGTTTTAACGTTTTGTCTGTGATAGATGATACCACTCGCCCTACATAAAATTGTCGTTCACTGCTAAAAGCACGTTTTTCCAAATGCCTCAAGAAAAGAAAATATGGTCGTTGTAGTTCAGTATAAACATTTTTTATTTTTATCAAACATTTTTACTAAAATATCTCTACAGCTATATCAGGATTTTACTTTAGCAAATTTCATTCTAATGTGGGTCCCACTTTGCTTCAGTAATAAAATAAATATCAATGCAAATTTGCTTATTTTGTCATTTAAAGCAATACAGGTATTTTGTGCTGGCTGGGTCACATTGTACTTTGGAATTGAATTTAAATTTCATTGTATTTTCATTAAAAAAATCATTGCAGGTATTTTTAAACAAGGCTTTGTAAAGCTGGTAATAACACACACACACACACACATTTATACACATTTTATACAATTTTGAATATAATTGGTATAATTGTTGAAGAGTTTGACGAGTATTTTTCTCTCCTCTAGCTTCTGCCGAGAGTTTGAATTCAAACCACTTAGAGCGAAAATCGAGCACAGGTGACGACGACAGTGCCAAACAGCAGCATCTACAGCCACCTCTTGCAGATTCACTTAGCATGCTCAAGTTTCCAAGACAATTGAAAAAGCCTTTCAAGAAAATTAAAGGTAAAGTTGACTCATGTCTTGATGAAGAATAATTATTTGCTTCATGTTATGTAACATATAATTGCACTGTGAAATTGTATTCCACATTAGGTACTTGATAGTAAAGTAAAATCTTCCCAGTACATCATGATATATCTTGAGTTATCTTGAGACAATTTCGGGGCTTTTAGTGTCCCCGCGGCCCGGTCCTCGACCAGGCCTCCACCCCCAGGAAGCAGCCCGTGACAGCTGTCTAACACCTAGGTACCTATTTACTGCTAGGTAACAGGGGCATAGGGTGAAAGAAACTCTGCCCATTGTTTCTCGCCGGCGCCCGGGATCGAACCCGGGACCACAGGATCACAAGTCCAGTGTGCTGTCCGCTCGGCCGACCGGCTCCCATTGTATGCTATATTGTGTATTTTCTGGAGGAGCAAAATGGTGGCTTCCTGAAGCTAGCTATACTGAGATTGTTCCACACATCAGATATCAGTGAACTCGGAGGCACTGCATCGGACTGGAGAAATTTCACGAGCGGAGTACCACAGGGTTTAGTTCTTGCTCGGTAATGTTCATTGTCTACTTAAACAACCTACCAGAAGGAATCCAGAATTATATGAAGATGTTTGCTGATGATGCTAAGATACTAGGGAAGATAAACTTTAAACGATTGTCATGCCCTTTTAGAATATCTGGACAAAGTAAGTGTATGGTGCTCTACTTGGCAAAGGGATTTTAATGTGAATAAAGACCATGTTTTGGAATGTGGCATAGGAGAAAAGTTAGAACGTTAGAAAGTACAACAGACATACGCAAGGTTTTCAGAGAAAAGAAACAAAGCAACAATCGATTTCACAAACGAGAAGTCACAGCTGACCACAGACAGGTGGCACCACCACTGGGAGTAGCTGGCTCCCCATGTCAACAATCCCCAGTCCTTTCCTTGATGATCAACAGTTTGGACCACTCCACTAGTCAACAGCCTTGAGGGTTATCTTGAGAGATCTTGAGATGATTTCGGGGCTTTAGTGTCCTCGCAGCCCGGTCCTCTACCAGGCCTCCACCCCCCAGGAAGCAGCCCGTGAAAGCTGACTAACACCCAGGTACCTATTTTTACTGCTAGGTAACAGGGGCATAGGGTGAAAGAAACTGCCCATTGTTTCTCACCGGCGCCCGGGATCGAACCCGGGACTACAGGATCACAAGTCCAGCGTGCTGCCCCCCCTCGGCCGACCGGCTCCCACACAAACTATTCTAAATAGTCCAAACTATTTCTAAATAAGTGCTGGCCATCCTTTGGACTCAGTGTGGGTCCATTTCAAGATTTAGTGTTTGCTTCGTGTGCATGTGTTTCAAGCCTCCTTTGTGGATTTTGGTAATTACCCACTTCAAGCTGCATGTGCTTAGGACTGACCTAAGAGAGGGATATGTAATAAATATGATAGAGAAATCAATAGACAACTGATCGTAAGGTAGGTCCGAGGGCTAACAGAGCTATTCCTCAGGATTAAATACAAAATTCAAATAATAAATACACATGCAAAAATGCACGTACACGTACAAAACCATACACGAAACGAAAGTGTACTGCCAAAAAACACACATTGAAATAATAATAATTCTAAATTTCAGGAAAACGAGAAGGCAGTTTCAGTGAGAGCGAGGATGCTATATCATATGAGTCCCAACCCCAAACTCCCACAAGCCCAGGAGACTACCATCCAAGCTTCTCATCAGAGCTTGGCCCAGATATCAATCCTGTAGCATTGAAGGAGAGAAATGTGGGAAGCAGTGGTAGCCAACAGGTGGCTTCTGCATGGGAACTCAGTGGAGTTGATGAGCCACCGAGAGCCAAAGAACCTCTAAAGCCGTCTTCCAGTCTTCCTGATGTTGTCCATGGATATGCGAGGTGGGAAGAGTTTGAATTTTTTTTTCTAAATTATATTGTCTATATTGAGAAAATTAATTGGAGTAATGAGGTGAGAGTAACTAGTTTTATGCAGTGTATGAAAACAAATTCTGTGTTGGTGAGTAATTACCACTCACCACCAAGTGTAATTACTCGAGTGTAGCTACAGGATATGAGCTGTGCTTGTGGTGTCCCGTCTTTCCAGTACTGTCATATGATACTTGTAATCTACTGATGGTTCTGGCCTCCACCATCTTCTGACTTACTCCAGCTGTCTACCACTTTTTGCAAAAGTGAACTGTAAAGATTTTTTGGCAACTTTGTTTTCTTAGTTTTAATCTATGACCTCTTGTTTGTGAAGCTACTGTTTTTCAGGATTCTTTGTCAGTTTTGTTGATTCCCTGTTACTATTTTGTATGTAGTGATCATATCAACTCTTTTTTTTTTTTCTTCTATGTTCTAGCATTGTATATTTTACACCTCTAGCCTCTCGTTGTAGTTCTTGTTTTTCAGTTCGCGAAGCCATTTAGTCGAATGTGTTTGAACTTTTTCCAGTTTATTAATGCTCTTCTCGAGATAATGGGCACCATACAACCACTACATATTCCAATTTTGGTCTCACAAAGATTGTGAGCAATTTTTGTAATGTTTCACCATCCATGTATTTAAGCGATTTTAAAGTTGTAAAGCATAGCATCAGCTCCTCACACAATGTTGTTCATGTTGTCCTCAGGTGAGAGTTTTCTATCTAGTGTGTGTACCAACACTTGTGCATGGGTTTACAACCTCTCAACCCATCCTCTAACAATTATAGTGCCTATAGTGACTGTGGATGGAAATAGAAAATATGGATTGTTGCACCCAATAACTCTACATTTTGTAATATTAGTATTCAGAACTAAAGGGCAGGACAAAACTTCAACAAACTAATAATAGCCTAACTATACTAGGCCTGGATGAGGTTAGGATTGGTTGTTGCCCTCTGGGGGCCAGATTCACGAAAGCACTTACGAACGTGTACATCTTTCCTCAATCTTTGATGGCTTTGGTTACATTTATTAAATTGCTTACAAGCATGAAAACTTCCCATTCAACTGTTGTTATTGTTATAAACAGCCTCCTGGTGCTTCGGAGCTCATTAACTGTTTAATAATTGGAAAAAGGGCCGCCAAAGATTGAGAAAAGATGTACAGGTTAGTAAGCGTTTGCGTAAGTGCTTTCGTGAATCTGGCCCCTGGTCTTTATCAATTCAAAAGTAATGTTACTAGTACAGTTTTTCTTTAGGGTGCAACAGTTTATATTTTTGTATATTTCAGTCATACTCACTATAGGTACAACTATTTTTGGAGGATAGATTTCAACATTTGTATGTCTTCATCATCTATACATAATGTCAATACAGACAGTATTTAAAGCACGAGATAATAAATACAGAAGAAGGTATTGGCTACAGTAATACAAAATATACTTAACATTTTTTGTATTAAAATAAATATACAGACATCTCATTTCAATGTTGTATTTAAATTAAATGATTATTATGTTCTTAATATTAATACATTGGGTCCTTTTAAAAAGATAACTTTATGCTGTGTATATCAGGCATTGAAAATTGAAAATTTAATAGAGCCACCTAGATATAAAACATTTTGAAAGTAGTTTTATGTTTTGGTACCTTATGGTACATAGTAGTCTATTACCTTTAACAATCATAAAGATGATGATGAAGATTAAGCCACCCAAGAGGTGGCACGGGCATGAATAGCCCGTAAGTGGTACAATTTTTTTTTCTCAGTATTCTGAGGTTGCATTTAACCATCAATCTGTTATCGCGGGGGAGGATACTGCTTCACAGTCTTTATGAGGGTGTCCAGCTGCTGGACACCATCATAAAGATGATAGCATCATCTTTATATATACATATTGCATATAAAGATGATAGCATCATCTTTATATGCAATATGTCTTTAATCTAATTTTCTCTAATTTGTTATGAAAATGTCAGTTATTAATAAGCTACAAAGAAAAGTGTGTAATTTTTGCCGTGTTTTGAATTTCAGCCTCGAGCCATCAGGGGTACAGGGTGCAGCCTCTTCATCTCTTTCTATCGTAGGTGGTGAAGCAGAAGCCTTGAAACAAATACTTCTCATCTCCCCTCATCCCCTCAAGCAGTCTACTTTACTGAAGAAAGAAGTTTGTTTTGCGTGTGATAAGCCATTTACTGGCTTTTTTATTAATTACGGCTACAAGTGTTTGAGTAAGAACATATTGAATGTTTAGTTTATAATGTTCGTTTTGTTTTTATTTGTCCATAGTAAGAGGTAACTAGCTTCTGGTCAGCAGTTTTCTTTTAATTGATTATTTAAAGTAATTTAAAAATATATTTGTTTCTGTTTATTTTCCTAACAATTGACAACCAAGTTTGTTGCACCTCGTATAGTTTGGAACTTAGGATTGATGCAATATATAACTAAATAGACAAGTAGAGAGTAAAGAGTGGTATCCTTTAATTGAAGTAAATTGTTATGCTTAACCGAGATTACATTGCTAGGAGCTGCTTGCTATCTCCGAATAAGTTTTGACAGCTATATCGTAAAACAAGGATTGTAGTACTAGATGATGCCTTTCAAGCCCATAGTAGTGCATGTGCCTGAGAGGGTTTGGGATGTGGGTTCGAGTCCACTGTACAGCCTCGGTAACTGCTCATAGACTCATTTCATTCTTGTGATTTCATTGTGCAGTAATTGACTGTTTTGTCTTGCAGGTTGCAAGAAAATTTTCCATTCGAGATGTGTAAAAGCGTCTCTGAGTGTTTCCTGCTTAGATAACCCAAACTCTGGTAAAGAGAACTCCAGTCCACTGAATAAGAAGCCTCGGCGTATTGACCAAGAAGACAATTGGAACCTTACTAGAACATCTGAATTCATTGATAAATCTGATGAAGTGATTAAAGATGCATATGAATTAAGACGGCTTGAAGAATATATTAGGCGCAAGGTAATGTGACTTTGTTATATCCTTGTAAACGTTAAGATTTATCACTAATGTCTTTGTTATTATTATAATATTAGTAATAATACAGTAGTTGATTTATACAAAAAATATAATTACAGTGTAAATTATATGTATAGGGGATTATATTTTATAATGACTGATCAAGTTCAGTGTTTAGAAGGATTCTTGTTTCTCTTTTGAGAGGTTTTTAATTTTTTTTGGTTATACTACTTAACTTTAAAACTAGATACTTTATTGGCTGGAATTGAGTATTAGGGAGTAAATGATTTAAGTGATATGAAAATTGTAAGTTAACTATTTCTAATACGAATTCAAAATTACAACATTACTTAAAATTTGGTTTTATGGCTTGGCATATTGAGCAGTGCAAGTGAAGTTCAAATAATTTTTAGGTCATGTTGCACAGCTGTTTATGTCTTTGGTTTGCAACTGAGGCCCCTTGGTTCAGGCGTCAGGTGGGACAGACAGTTGGACACATTTTCTTTCACCTGAAAATGAAATGTCCATTTACATTTATTATGTATCACTACATTACTACATTGTATTACTATTACTACATTTACTTATCCAATTTACTGTGCTGCAGAAGGTAGACAGCTGTTGTGGATTACATTGTGGGAAAAGTCATTAGTAGTTAGATTATAGGAAACCATAAGGTGAAGCATTTACACTCTGATATCATGTGTGGAGTTTTATGTATATGTTATTTGTTTACTGATAACATTTAATTGTTCTAAACAGTTGTATGATCTAGAAGAGAAAGAGAGTGAGAAGGCCGACACTCGTACCCAAAGTCTCGATCGCACTTTTACCCGAGATGCACCAAGCAAAGATTTTGAAGCGAGCATTCGTTTACGAGATCGAAAAGACTCGCAAGTGGATCAGATGTTCTGTCAGTCATTACGCGAGTTTAAAAATAATTTGGTGTCCACTTATTCTGTGGCATTCCAGAGAGAAACAGCAGACCTTACCCTCAAGTACAAAGATCTCATTAAAAATTTTGAGCAGGTTTGTGTTGTTATTTTCATATGGTTGTTGTTGATTCTTTACTGCTATATAGCACATACTATACAGCATATGCCCTTCAGTATCTTTTTGTGATATTTGTTGAAGTCAGGACTGTGCAATATATTCACAGATGTATTGCAAGTCATTAAAGCATTGTTCTGCATGAACCCTGATGGGAAAATCCTGAACAGTAATATAATTGTGGGTTGAAAAAAAAACTTGCATGTCGTAACTAGAATGAAAAGTTTCAGAATCAGCAGAATAAATTATAAAATTGTTTTAGCTTATCTTGACATTACGTGTCCAACTGCCACATTAACTGAATCAGTTAACGTAGCAGTTGGACACTTAATTTTAATAAGCATAGTAATAATTTGAGGAGTTTATTCATAAGGCTCTTGACAGCCTTGTCACAATAAAAAAAATTGTGATTTAAGTCTATCAAATAATAAATATATTAGGTAATAAAGGTAAGCAGTGTCCAGTTTTCTTCTGTAGAGATATGACATATTGTATTTTTTAATAAAGTTTATCTAAAGTATCTTAACAGGTAAACCCTGTGCTGTCAAGAAAAGTATGAAATCTGTTATTGTGACATTTAAAACCTGTCATAGTATGTCTTATAAATGCTCTAATCAGACCTTAATTGTTTGATATCTAAAACTTTCCTGCATAAGAAAAAGCAAAAGTTCAGGATGTAGTAACATGTTTAGAATTTGATTTATAATGAATCTTTGTTTTTATTATTAGGTGATGAACACCGTATGCAAGGAGAAGATGGGAAATGACACTTTCCCAGTTACAATGGGAGTTAATGCATTTCGTGGTTTCCTTGATGAATTTATACGAGAGAAAAAGAAACCAGTTGAGGATAAATCAAGAAGAAAAAGACACAGGCGTAAAAAGAGAAAGGTATGATGTCTCTTTAGATCTCTCGGTATCTCTCTAGAATTTGTATGGTGATACATTGTATCTGTTTGTTGCCATGTTTACAATATAAAAGGCTACTTCCCATAAACTGTGTTTACATGACTTAAAGGTCATTTCAGTATTCATCTCCTTATCTCATGGGCAGCACCCCCCCCCCCCCCCCCACCCCTGTTCTGACATTATTATTCCAAGATCTTTGAATGGGTCGATCCTTTCTGTGAAGAGGTCTGAACAAGTCTCTTACTTATTACTTCTTTTAAGGTATTATTTTTTCCATACTGAAGTAATTTTAATGTTTCAGTTGAATGTCATATTGTTTTCTAATGTCCATAGGAAAATCTTGTTTTTATAAGTGTAATTTTTCTGTAACATCTGCTGAAGCAATTTTCATGTATATTTTGCTGTCTGAGAAGAGTGACATTAAACTGTAATTTGTGTATTTGTCTATGACTTTGTGAGGATGAGAATGCATAATGGCACGAGTAACCTACCTTGTGAGACTGAGCATCGTGCTGGACTCGGACTGGATTTTGATTTAGTTAGTTATTGCCACCGTTCTCTTTGAATATCATTATTTTAACAATGTTTTCCCGCCACTAACCTTGTATTGTTGAACATAGCTAGTGGTATGTCCATACTACTTTTGTTATGTCAGTTCTAGCAAATTTATCTTTGTTTGGTAAGCAATGAATATAATACTGTAATGTTGTGCATTTGTGTGCGGTTAATTTGATATAAAATGTATAGTTATGGAAAACTGATACAAGCATGGCTTTCCTTATAAGTCTGATCACTGTATGACTTGCAAGTAATTCAAGGGTGAATTTTGTTCGTTACAGGTAGAGGAGTTGGTGTATGGAGGCCACATCTTCTCCCCAATCATGGTGAACATTCCTACTCAGTGTGAAGTGTGTAACTCTTTCCTCTGGCTTTCTATGAAGGCCTTCACCTGCCAAAGTATGTATCCCTTTTATCCCCTTATCCCAAAGTATGTATTTAGCAGCTTAGTGTATAGATCAATCCTGGTTTTACATGGGGATATGTTCCAAGACTTGAGAATGTTGCTAATGAAAAGCATGAAAATGCTTTATGTATGGTAAAAAAAATAAGTTTACGTGAAATAATATAAAAATGTAAAAGTATGAGCTGGCATGAGAGCAAACTGGGACATTCAACCTACCTGTTGAAGATTCCGGGTCTCGATGTCTCTGAGGCCTGGTTTCTGACCAGGCTGTTTAATGTGGCTGCTTGCAGACTGATGTATGAATCACAGCCTAGTTGATCAGGTATCCTTTGAAGGTGCTTGACGAGTTCTCTTTTGAACACTGCAAGAGGTCGGCTAGTTACGCCTCTTACGTATGTAAGGGATGAGTGTTGAAAATTCTTAGGCCTTTGATGTTGATTCAGTTCTCTCTCGGCACGCCTTTTGCACCTCTGCTCTTCGTTGGGGCTATTTTGCACATCCTGCCATGCCTTCTGGTCTCATATGGTCCCATTTCTGTGTGCAGATCTGGAACCAGTCCTAATATTTTCCAGTGTAAATTATGTCTCTCTCCTGCTTGTACTAGGGAATACAGATTTAACATTTTTAGACAATCCCAATAAATTAGACGTTTTATTGACTGGATTCAAGCAGTAAATTTGCATGCTCTCCAGGTGCAAAGATCCTTTAGCTTTTGTGGCTGGAATTTTAGTTTGGGGTGGAAACCCCCAAATTCTGCTCATTAGGTGGACAAAATAATATAATTTTGAAGTTTTAAAAATCTGGTAGCAGTTTCCTTTTCCTTAGCTCATAATGCTACACTTGTCAACCATGAGCTTCATTGGTCTCTCTTTAATTTTTTTTTTTATGAAACTCTTGATGAAAACCTGGTATAGAATGTTTTTGAATGTCCATATATTTATTTATTTATTTATTTATTTATTTATTTATTTATTTATTTATTTATTTATTTATTTATTTATATATATATATATATATATATATATATATATATATATATATATATATATATATATATATATATATATATATATATATATATATATATATATATATATATATATATATATATATATATATATATATATATATATATATATATATATATATATATATATATATATATATATATACATACATACATACATACATACATACATACATACACACACACACACACACACACACACACACACACACACACACACACGCGCGAAGGTACATTGGGACTGTGAGGATACATAGGATAGTAATTACAATCTTGTAAAGCCACTAGTATGTGCAGTGTTTTGGGCAGAAATATATATTTTCATTGGCTCTGTTACACCCCATCAAGGCCTCTTTGTGTTAGGATTTTAATTGTTTTAATGAAATTAAATATTACAAGTAAATAAAGCAATACATAGAAAATATAACCAATTTTAAGTTTTAATGAATTACTTGCCATTTATGTAATAAAGGTGTCAATTTAATGTATGAAATCAGAAATTGGAATACAGTTTAGCAAATCTTATACATGAAGATGATAATTCTTTTAGCTAGCAGAATGATAACATTTTATGATTGGTAGTTAATTTAAGCATTACAGTATATTAAAGTGTTTAAGATGACTTAAATGTGTTAATGCAGGTAAAATTGTGTTGGAGGAGTAAAGGAAACTGTTATATTAGTGTTATCCGAAGAATGGAAATTGACAAATGTGGATAATGTGAAAGTGAAGTTGAGAGTAATTTTTTTTTTAATTCATTCCTTGTGAATATTCAAGTTAGAAAATGTACTTTAGTTACATTCACAAAACACTTCAATTTACAATTTCTTTCTAAGCATGTAAATGTCACCCAATCCAACATGAGATCCAAAACCAATATGTAGCATTGACATCCTAAACCTGTGACATACAGTATAATTAGTGAGAAAATCAGTTGGAGCCATGAAGACCCTCCTCCCCACCACCTAGAGGGTTCAGTGGATTCAGGTTGTATTTGTTTTACCATATAGTAGTGTATTGATCTAGGGCAAGCATGTCAAACACGCAGCCCGTGGGCCGCTTTGCAAGCACACCTGCGGCCTGCACAAAAAATACTGTAATACAATGGATACTATATTCTGCAATTACTTTTACTAAATGAATTCAATTAGTTATCGTGTATGCAGTCCTCATGAAAACAAATGTGACCCATATGACCCTTAGGGGACCCTCAGTTTGACTTGCCTGGTCTAGGGCATTTGCTTGGGAGTACCCAAGTACCCATGAGGTGGTTTGAATCCTCCTCACGGCTCCTACTAATTTGTGATTATCTAATGATAATCACATTAATTGTATTGACAATGAAATCACATTAGTGTTAATAATAATAAATGTGTTACAACTCTACAGGAGTTTTGGGTTTACCATTTTAACCTTACTTTCTTTTCCTCCACTAGGATGTAAAGTTACGTGCCACCAGAAGTGTTACAAGAGAGCAGACTCCAAGTGTAGTCATGATGGTCCTAAGCCTATTGTTGTTGATACTGGAATGCCCCCTACTAGAAATCGCGTTCTTGGTGTACCGTTAGAAAATTTAGTACGACCTGGTGAAAAAATTCCTTCAGTTATAGATCGTCTTATTACCAGCATTGAGATTTATGGGTTGTACACTGAAGGGCTCTATCGGAAATCAGGTGCCCAGACTAAAGTAAGTTCGTTATCGTTTCTCGTCTTCTGACTTGCTGTTAAATTATAATTATTTGCTTGTGTATATTTTTTTTGACAGGCTAAGTATAATATGATTTCTTTAATAATCTTTAGTAATTTATGGTCTTGCCATGTTACTGGGGAATTGGGGGACTGCAATGTAAGTATCTACCACTGTGCAACTGCTTTTTATAATAATAAATCACAAAGCACATCACTTGTGGACCTCTCCAAGCAATAATTTGAATCACCAGGTAACCTAATTATTGCTCTGCACACTATCAATTACCAACTAGGTGGTTCCCCAACCTCCTCCAAGTGGCTGTACTGGCCCACACAACAGTGTCAGTGGAGTTTGCATCCCTCATTTGTAGCCTGGCAATTCACCATTTCATTCTCCACCTCTATGACTGCTGAATGAGATAGACGAATTTTTCATTGGAGCTTGTTTTTACACGAAGTTCAATTGTGGGAAAATCCTGGCAGGCGATTATTTATTTTTATTATATATTTTGTTAACTTCAATATTGAATTATGATTCTAAGTGGGCTGTATTTTTGATTCAGCTTGCCAGAACTCACCTGCACATAGTTTGGAGGGACAATTATAACTTATACCACAATGAGTGGATATATATAAGTTGTAAAGAATCTACAATTGTTTAACAATTGTAGATTGTTTAATTAGATTGCAAACAACCTCTAGCTAAATATAAATTATACCACATATGGTGGCTTAAATTACTTTGGTTAGTATTACTCCTATCTTATAGTAAACATGGGTTAGTACAAGTATAAGGTCTCATCTGTGACTATAGGTATGGCCTAATTAGGCTGTGTGTGATGGTTCCTCCATCAGATTAGGGTGTGGCACATGTGGTGTAGGGCCTTGTAATGGCGGCCTGGCGTCTGTGTAGCGGCTAAGGTAAGAAAGCGCCACAGATTATGTTGGCCTGTTCACCTTCTTATAACTCCAGATCACACATTACCTGCTAAAGTAATGGAAATTAATAATGGCTCCATTAACATATAAAGTACAGGTGTGACATGAAATATTTGTGTGTGTATAGTGCCGAGTAAACTCACTTTGTTTGAGCTTTAAGCTCAATGCATAACCGCCAGACCTATCTAAACAGTAAATGGCCAAAAACGTTATAGATAATTGGTAAGACGGATACTCGGATCTTCTTTTTTGCTGTAGAGGTTCCAATGGCAGTTTCTCGGTTGGTCGACTCATATTTTGGTAGTCTTTGACGAGTTGTGCTTGTGAGGAGTCCTCTCTGTTTTGTTTTTGTATCTGTGTGAGAGCGTGACTGGCCCTGCTCCCTCAGCCAGCCATGTTCCAACATTCTGTCTTAAGGACTAAGCTTATTTTAACAATAGCAAGGGAGTTTGTAGAGTATATCTGGTGTATGGTATAATCATTCAGTCCTAGTGAATACTATTTTATTAGGTTTAAACACTAGACTCTGGTTTAAAAGAATAATTAGAATTTTAAATATACGTGTAGTGAATTAACGTCTTGATGTGATGTCACGGAATCGCCCATTTTCCATACATTCTTAATGGGTAACTATAGTATGTTAACATATGTGTCGGATTTCCGACACCAATTCTTGGTGGTCACTTCACAGCAGGTAGATGTTATACTTTTTACTAGACACTCGGTTTGTTGAATCCTCCATCCATATGGTGCTTACCTAAAAAAAGTTTCCTCGGTCTTTTTAGACTTGAAAAATGCCTAATAAGTGTAGAAACATAGAATGATAAAAAAAAGTGTTTATTCAGTCTCAGGCTTAAAGTGGATTCACTTTCTTCCTCTCAATATTAGGATGAAGGCATACCATAATGCAGCTTTAATATATAGGTGTGTGTGTGTGTGTGTGTGTGTATTTAGTATTTCATATTTAGTATTAAGATATTTTAAATTGAATAATGTTTTGTAAGTGGCTTATTGCTCTTCGTGTGTTTCTCAGGTTCGAGCAGTCAAGGCCCATATGGAGCGTGATCCGGATAATATAGACTTTACCGACACACCCATTCATGTCCTGGCCACCATCCTAAAGTCCTTCTTTCGGGAATTACCGGAACCCCTCCTGACCTTTGAATGTTATGACCCGCTCCTCCATGCTACCGAGCTGCAAGATCCAGATGATCAGTTGCAGACAATATTCAACATCATCAAAGGCATACCTAAACTGAATTATGATTTGCTAGAAAGACTCATCTTTCACATTGTTCGAGTGGCGCATCATGAAGAGCACAATCGCATGAGTGTTAATGCCTTGGCCATCGTGTTTGCACCTTGTATACTGCGTAGTCAGAGATCACAAACGGTTCAAGATTCTCTTAATGATATTGCCAAACAAACAGCGGTTAGTCTACTTGATTTCTTTTTTAGCCTAGGTTCTAGAATTGGGATATATTATACAGTAATTGCTACTTATGAAGTGATCTGATAAATAATTTTCATATTATGGTTAATCTTGGCAATGCTTAATTCTTTTAATATCTTCTTTCAGGTGGTAGAGTCGATAGTAACAAGACAATTAAGACAAGTGAGAATGACACTTAATGATATTGATAGTGTTGATAGTGCAACAGCCTCGGCAGGCATGCGTCTCGACTCAATTCGTTCCTTAAAGGTATGGAGCTGTAATTATATTTCCTGTACTTTCATTTCAGAATATAAATATAAATAATTTGGCTAATTACACCATGACAAATATTTTCTAATTATGTGATCACATGAGAGTAGTGTAGATGTGTGTGTGTGTAATATAGTGTTCTAAAATTAGCAAATAGTTTTAATTCTAACACTTTTGCCATGATTGGCAGAAATGCTTGTTTCATTTAAGTCATGCAGCACAATAGACAAGTTTAAAGAAATTCATCCAAACGAGTTTCAACATCCTGTAATGTTTGTCCAGATATCTGAACTTCAGAAGAGTTTGTGCCTGGTAGCAGTTATTTCCTCTCTGGTGTGGAGGCAGTTTTCAGTGTGTCCTCCCTCTACATCAAATTTTGGGGGATTGTCGGAACCCATTCTTAAGCCATTCTCCTTGGTTGGTGCAGAACTATTGGCTAGAGTTTGAAAGTCTGTCTTTGGTATCTTAGCCATTTTGTTTTCTGCCCTGTTTTTGGCTCGGGTTTTATTTGCAGTCCACATTTTGGTTTTCCAGCTATTCCCGATTGCTTGTTGCGTGTCCTCACCTTGCTTACGTCAAACCTCTTTCTGTGTCTTCCCCGAGTCCTGGTCTCCTGTCTCCCACTTTGATGGGTCGGCCCTTTCTATATTTGTGTGTTCTGTATTTAGTCTTTTCTGCAAAATCTGTTCCTTTTCTGAGGCACCATTGTATGCATCATTGAGCTACTACGGGATCGGCACAGAAGTCAAGTATTGAACGGAACCACACATTTTGTGTGTGTGTGGGGGGGGTTCAACCAGCTCTCCGTATCTGTTGTTCATTGTCTTCCTTTCGTATGGGAATGAGGTGTGTCCTGGATTTGGATATTTTACAGAAATTCAAATTTCAGAGGGACGATCTGGTCTGTGGATTTGATCTAATATTTAGTGGAATCCACTTTGTAGCTTTGGATTCATAAGGTTCTAAAGTAATGCTCTGTAAACATTACTAGGACATGACATTACAGTATAATCTAATTATCACCAATAGTCTCCAATGAGCGTCTCCACAATGTGCAAGATTTTTCACTTCTATTTAATTATACTGAAAATGGAATGCACAATACCAGTAATGGCAATCAACTCAAATGTGGCAGGAAGCAATACAAAGCTTACAATATATTGAATTAAGTGATCATTGTTACTTAGTCTCAAGCTCTTCTCGAGGTTTTCTTGAGATGATTTCGGGGCTTTAGTGTCCCCGCGGCCCGGTCCTCGACCAGGCCTCCACCCCCCAGGAAGCAGCCCGTGACAGCTGACTAACACCCAGGTACCTATTTTACTGCTAGGTAACAGGGGCATAGGGTGAAAGAATCTCTGCCCATTGTTTCTCGCCGGTGCCTGGGATCGAACCCAGGACCACAGGATCACAAGTCCAGCGTGCTGTCCGCTCGACCGACCGGCTTTCTCAAATACTACCCTCAAATAAATCCCTCTTCAAATACTACCAAACCTCAAATCGGTATATAATCATAATAATTTTTTTTCCCTTAAAGTAGCTAATAATGATCGACTTCATATGCTGATATATATAAAGTCCTTATGTGAGTGAATGTTCACACTGGCGAGAGGATTTAAACTCATCTTGGTTATGATACAGCATCACCTAGACAAATGATGTATTGGCAAAAATGCATGCGACAGTAAATGCTCGACTCCATACTTGGTGACAGTATGGCATACAATTTCTTACTGTTTGAGATCTTGATTGAGGGGGGCCACAGCTGACTTCTTAATAAAAAATTTTCTTCATGGTCTTGTAAGTGTTCACTTCTATAAACACGGGAACTTCACCTCATCTTTTTGGCAGTTTAAATGTAGCTTCCAATCTTCTCAAACTGATTGTGACTAAATTTTCTTTGACATCTAACTTACTGTGGGTGCTTGTATACATGTTACTGTTCTAACATGTAACATATAAGAACATGTTACTGAAGCATTTAAGCAGCTGCAAATATCACGGGCCAATTATCAACCTACCCAGGCTGTGGTATGTTTAGTATTTTCCTTGGAAAGAGCAGATCATTGCTGAAGGGAGTAACCAAGTGGCTTACTCAGAAAGGCCCTTTTTATATATCACTCAAATCCTGACATTTTGCATTGAAAAGCAATTTCTCTTTACTTTTATTTTGATACAACAATGTTCACTAAATGATAACAGTACTGTACACTGAACAGGAGTTATGCTTTGTAGGGCCTAAAATAGTGAAATGAACAAATCATGGTACAGAAACATTTCATTTATGGTGATGGGAAGTGAAACACAATACTCGCCCATCCAGATATGTTTGTCATATTTTACTGTCAAACTGTGATTGGAAAAAAGTATCAATGTTGCATAATGGTTTATCCTTTAAGTTGATTTGTTATTAATTAAATAATTGTCTTGCATGTAAAAATTCTTTCTAAAATAAGTTGCTGCAGAAATTTAGTAATAGAATATCAGAGAACTTTGTTAGAAACATTTAAAACATTCAACTTCCTTTTAATAATTGAATTTTTCACTATTGCATGGTAGAATAGTGCTGTAACCATAATCTTATAACTTCAGGCTTTGAGTCGGTCACTTGTTTTGCCTGAAGTTTCCATCTGGGTGAATAGAAACAGTCGCCTCAGACACACAATTTAACTGTTGACAGAATTTGTAAATACACAAGTGGAATGGCTCCAAGATAAGTGAGATTTGTTTATCTCTTGTCTGTTTTCAACTCAGCATGGCTTAATAAATAAGTTTTATTTTATATTCTAATATATATAAATATAATAGCATTTGTAACTTTGATTATATTGTTTCAGCCTCAAACTCATCGATACTGTGCACTTCAAAATGAAGGTACAGTGTCCACATTACCACGTGCGTCAACTGCTTCAGCGAGATCTGCATTATCTGATCCTTGTGAGCAAGATCTGGAGGAAAAGTTGGAAAACCTCCGTGACACTCGGCTCCGCTTAGAGCTACAATTGCCAACTCTTGTGAGAGGGAGCTCGGAAGAAGACCTCCTCTCCACAGATATGTCTCGAGGTGGATCTTTGGAGGACATTCCTGGAACTCCAATCACTCCTGCTGCACCTGCTGCATTTATTGGAGGGTCCAGAGAGAGTGGGTGTGGTGACGAATCGGATTCACTTTCTATATCAGGTAGAATGTGAAATATGTATTGTTGAAGATAAGAAATATCAGTGTAATTTCTGTGTGTGTGTGTGTACATGTAGGAATCTTGGCATACTTAAAAAGTTTTTGAATAATTAGCCATTGGCAATCCCTTTGTCACATTGCATAGCTGCACTAATTTATATTCATAATAAGATTGCATGCATTACTGCATTTTATTTTTCTTGTAGGCCATTTGAAGCACTACCATACATGTGAAAGTTAAATGGGGTACCTCCTGTCCTTGACTCAATGTTTTGTTTGTTTTCATTTATTAATTAAAGCACAGTTTAGTGGTCTGCTTCTTTTTTTATTTTCTCCACCTTATCACTCATTCAGTAACAACCTGCTGCACCACACAATTGTTTTTCATAGTCCACACAGTACAGGTGGTGTTCATGGATGATTGATGATTGAAGAAGATTAAGCCACCCAAAAGGTGGCACGGGCATGAATAGCCCGTAAGTGGTGGCCCTTTTAAGCCATTACCAGTATCAATAGATGATACTGGAGCACTGTGGAGGTGTGACTGCACCCTTCATGACGGGAGATGTCTTCCGTGGTTCATGGATGCCTTCAACCCTACACTTGAGAGGACTGTGTAGGGTTGACAGTGGGTCACACAATTCACTCTCACAGCTCCACCTAGATTTTTTTTTTAAAATGGTATACTTATGCCCTCATTCCTATATTAACTACATCAGCAGTATCTCTGTTAATGGTCATTGGTGTTGATATTAGCATCCTTCCCAGCATGTTCCATTATCACACAAAAAAAATCAATATGACCACTTTTATTGGTAAACCTATATTTTTAATATCCCAGGTCTGGTTATCTTTATGGATCACTGATGTGATTATCCAGGAGTTGAATCTACACCCATGCTTCACCAGACTGCTGGTGTTTCTCCTATGCAATCTAAAGGTTTGGCTTCCAGTGGCCAAGGACTTAGTTAATTACAAATTCTGTATTTAAACAAGTGCCACAGAATGATAGCTTCAGAGCACTGTCGTATAATGCATTGAAACTACAGTACAGTACTGGCGGTTTTCTCTTTCACCACCACCTCACTTAACTTGTTCCAATCGTCTACCACTCTGCAAAAGTGAATTATCTTGTATTTCTTTGGCAGCTTTGTTTAGTAAGCTTAAATCTAGGACCACTTGTTCTTGAAGTCCCAGGTCTCGGGAATTCTTCCGCTATCAATTTTGTCGATTCCGTTACTATTGTTTTACATGCTAATCATATATGCAAGAGTAGATTGAAAAAAAAGTGTCACCTGATATTTTGCTGTGTTGATTGAATCATTTTAGATATTGGAAGTGTTTTTGTAAGGTAGTGTTTAAATACAGCAGATTAATAGGAAATACAGTAAGTTAAAAATATACTAATACAAAATTTGAGATAGAAACTAGTTACAAAAACTCTGAAGAGTGTGCAGTATAAGTACTTAGCACTAGATAGCATAATTGAACTTCACCTTGTATTGTACTCTATATTTAATCTAAAAAGAACTTGGAAACCATTAGATCTGTCTGTAGTAACTATGATGAATTATTTTGATACTCGAACAAATTGATATGAGATACAGTATAACAAAGAAGAAAATATTCACAGCAATAAAAATTACACATTTGTAAAGGTTGTCCTAAACTTCAGCGTCTTTATTCTTGCACAGTATCCTATTTGTGACACTGTTAGTAGGCATAGATTCAAAGGTAATAACTGTGGCAAACTGCGTGTTGATGTTTTAATGCTGCTCTTAATCTAAATAATATTGTTTTTATTGGGACAGACTGAAATTTTGTTACTTTGAATTCGTTTTGTACATGTGGGTTGGGTTGTTTCGGCTACATTATTTTGACTTGTTCTCGCATTCTCTGTACTTTCTCATCTTTCTTGTAGAGTTAGGCACTTGTTTCGCTATTTCAAATACTGAAAGTAATTGACCTTGCTATATTGTTTTCTTGTATATTAGTTTATGACTCCATGCATTAGTATCTTGAATATGCTGATTTTCTCTGCCAAGTTCATTTGTTTATATTCTTACTATAAACAAAATCCATTTCAACAATAAAGCTCATTATGAACGATTATCTGTTTTCAGTTGACATTATGCTGTCGTTACACATTTTTGACTCATTTGAGTCAAATTTTTTTGACTCATTTGAGTCATTCAGTGACTCTGTAGTAGTGTTTTCCAGTTGCATACAAGATTGTGTTCAATAATGTAATTCAATTCATATTTTTATGACAGGTGACAACACAACCAGACAAAAAAGAACCCGGACTTGGAAACGAGATAAAACAGACGAAGACGGTAGTGTAACTTCAAGATTACACCAGGACTATAGTGATGATGCTGTGATGGTATAGCTCACGTGTGAACTTTGGTCATAGGATCCATATTGCTTGGGTAGTGCCGAACATTAATATTTATAATTTTCATCATTTGGGAAGATGGAATTTAAGGCAATGCTGACAAATTTAGCCGAAGGACCCAGTATTTGTTTATATTTGATTCGATAATTATTCCTACAATTTGCTACAAAAAAAGGACGCATTCGGATAAAAAACGTTTACGTATATTTTTCTAGGCACGAGAACAAGAAATCTATTAGTGTGAATGTGACTCATGTGCTTAGAACTCTTTTGTTTTTTTGTTTTTTTTTTGGTTTGAGAGGTAAGTTTGTTTGACATCGATCATTGTTGTGTTTGTTACTTTGCTTTAAGGTGAACTATTCTTGTCAAGAGATGTGTTTTTTATATCTTTGTAATGTATATTAATTTGAAAACTCGTGTTTGTAAATTGTCAAATCTAGTTTTGATAGGATTGTGATTATCAACTGAACAAGCATTGTAAATACTTTTTAAGCTTTTCTTCTCTTAGTTACATATTTTGTTCTCTTAGCTACAAATTTAAGTCATCACAAACATACTTCAGGGGACCATAATCATTGTATAAAAGTATTTAAGAATTACTTCATGTTACATCCAGATCACATCCAGAGTAAAATTGCCTCATTAACAAAGGGGGACTCATACTTGACGACGGCTGTATTAGCAGAGGCTCGGACTAATGGGCAATTTTGTGTGTAGCCAGGGAGGTTTTACTCATGTTAACTTATTTTAAGTGTGCTCTTATGTGTTAATGACAAAGTTCTTTCATATCATCATGCTCTGTGTTGTAATTTTCTCACAAAATTGTTATGCCATTTCTTGCCATTACTTACCTATTTTGTCTCTCAATTTCAAAGTTTTTCCCCAAAGTTAATATTTAAATTAAGTGTTCCTATGTCCTTTAATTATTCATAAATGAAACTTTTACAATGGGTATTCCGTATCTGTCCAGAATTGTCTTTTCCCAATTTGCATAATTTCCGAAAGTTAGTATGTGTGCACATCCCAGTGATGTCTCCTGTCTTTTTTTGTAACTGCACATTTTTCCCCACTTTTTCATATTTGGCGTAACATTAAAAACCCAAGCATAAATAATTATCATTTTTTTAATTGTTCTTATTGATAGAATAAAACTGGATATTTGAATATGCTACTGGGGTCTAGTGTCAACATGGTTTGATTTAGGCAGTGTGTCCTGTCCGAGTCTCGTCTATATTTTAGGAATCGTCTCCAGTTGTTGTGGTCACAATTCAGAAAGCCCTATTATCAGTCACCAAATGTCACAATAATTTTTAATTTCGTTTTTAATGAATCAGGTTTTGTAAATTTAAATCTTCACATGCTGTAAATGTTGTCTACATTTACAGCATGTTTTTCAAAAATAAAATGTTGGAAATTATATATTTTTAGAGAAAATTAAAATAAATAATAAAGAGGTTCTTTATTTTGTATGTATACACATGAATACATGTATATATAAATATAAAATGTTGTATGCTCACACACACAAACACGGATTTGTACATAAAGCAAAGCAAAACAAAACAAAAGAAGGGGAGGTGTGGTAGGACAAAGGAACAGGGGAAACTGCATCTGAGGGGACCAGATAATCATCACAAATGCATGTGCTTTTTTGAGGTTATGGGTCCCCCTTTTTCCAACCAGAGGTAGTACCCCTCTTCTGCCCTTCTGTTTAATTTCTTTTGAATTACAGTATGTAAGGTGTGTATGAATATAATATATATATATATATATATATATGCCACAAACTTGCACGAACATGCAAGCTATTTTTAACAACAGAAACTCTTCTCCTATGAAAGAATTGAACCATGGCTATCCAGGTGGCTCGCCAATATGCTAACCGATACACCACAGTAGATCGTTAAAAAGGACCGAGAATCGGCCAGCTTTTCCACAAAACTAGGTCCCCCAACGACGCCAACTGATGGTGACAGATCAGACACGTTCTCCCAACTCGGTCATATTTACTAGAGAAAACTTGAGTTCATTTATGCCACAACTTGCAAGATTTTGCAAAAACTTCTCATAGGGGAAAAGTCTGTTGTTAAAAATAGCTTGTGTGTTCTTGCAAGTTTGTGGCATTAATGAACTCTAGTTTTCTCTAGTAAATATGACTGAGTTGGGAGAACATGTGTGATCTGTCACCATCAGTTGGCATCGTTGGGGGACTTAGTTTTGTGGAAAAGCCACCCAGTTCTCAGTCCTTTTTAACGATCTACTGTGGTGTATGGTTAGCATACTGGCAAGCCACCTGGATAGCCATGGTTCAATTCTCTCATAGGAGAAGAGTTTGTTGTTATATATATAGATTTTATTCATTCACACACCCACACACCCCACCCCCCCCCCCCCCACCCCACACCCCCACACCCACACCCCCACCCCCCCACCCCCCCCCCACCCCCCCCCCCACCCCCCCCCCCCCCCCCCCCCCCCCCCCCCCCCCCCCCCCCCCCCCCCCCCCCCCCCCCCCCCCCCCCCCCCCCCCCCCCCCCCCCCCCCCCCCCCCCCCCACCCCACCACACACACCAACCCCACCACACACACCACCCCCACCACACACACCAACCCCACCACACACACCAACCCCACCACACACACCAACCCCACCACACACACCACACACCACACACACCACACACCACACACACACACACACCACACACACACACACACCACACACACCACACACACCACACACACCACACACACCACACACACACCACACACACACACCACACACACACATCACACACACACACACACAGAGTATATGTGATAAATAACTATGAAGGGAAAACTTCAATTGCAGTAATATTAAATTTCTTGAGAACTCTGTATATTTAACCACTGCACTGCACACCTGGTTTCGGCAAAAACTTTTTTAGTGCAATGGTCAAGGACATACTATATTTTTGTTGTTTTTATAAATATTCAGGTAAAATTAATGTCAAAATGTTTCCAAACTCAACTATTTCCATTTCAAAACAGAGAGTAATGAAAACATTAAAAAACATTAAAATATATCCTTATTAAAAAAAAAATAGCATAACTTTTAGAGCGCCTAAAGGCGCTTTGCGCAGTGGTTAAATAGTGTGTGTATACTGTAGTAGTTTTGAAATAATTATGAGCTCTGGGGCTAGATCTTGCCTTTAGTAAGCACAATAGATATGTCTACTAGCACACTTGTGCATAACATAGTGTGGGTAGAATCAGATATAAAACATGAGGCAAGTTTTACAAATGGTGTTTAAAGGCAAGTTTATCATGGATTATTTTTAATAATTCTGGAATGCCTTCCAAGATAATTAACAAAATAATTCGCTTATATTTATCTGAGTTACTTTTCATTTCTGGGGTGGCCTCCCTCAGTGAAGCTTGAGATCGTAGATTAAACCAAAAAAGAACCACCAGAAAGCATAAGTGGAAACAAAAAAGCAACTGATTGAAGCAAATTAGGTATTTGAAGGTACTGTTAACAAGTCAAACAATTGTTTTTGCAATGTAAACGTCCCATCCATGTAGATTTTCAGCCCCATCAGACAGTAGCTCGGGTCATCTTTGGTCCCCCATCAGTTGCACCTTCACTCACTCGCCTGGTCAAGAACATGGTTTCTCTGATGGGGCCCAATCTTCGCTTTACCCATGAGCCAAGTGATGTTGGTTATCCCTGGAATGTTTGTTCCAGGGATAACCAACTGAACTGTTAACCTTTGAGCCTTTGTTCTGCCAAGGCTCTTTACTTTGTTGTTGTTGTCTCCTATACTCCTGCATGATTGTTTCATGGCACCCACCTTGCAGGTGCCCCTAGCACTGTATTTTGCAGTGATTGTGTGCCAGGGTTCTTGTCCTGTGTAGTCTACTTGTATTTTCGTTTCCCAACCAGAGGTAACTGCTCCTTTTCCAGAGCAGCCATTGCCTTTTCTTGCCAGGTATTTGTGGTCTGGGTTCAGTGGTTTGTTCAGTTAGGACATTTCACTCGTGCCTGGCACACCTTTCTGTCTGCATGACAGTCAGAGTAGCTGGTTTCCTTTGTGTACAGTATCTTCTTGAGGTTATCTTGAGATGATTTCGGGGCTTTTTAGTGTCCCCGCGGCCCGGTCCTCGACCAGGCCTCCACCCCCAGGAAGCAGCCCTTGACAGCTGACTAACACCCAGGTACCTATTTTACTGCTAGGTAACAGGGGCATAGGGTGAAAGAAATCTGCCCATTGTTTCTCGCCGGCACCTGGGATCGAACCCAGGATCACAAGTCCAGTGTGCTGTCCGCTCGGCCTACTGGCTCCCCACAGTATGTGGGGCTTTTATCGGGCTTCCTTTCACAGGTGGGTTATGGCTTCACAGTCCAACTGTGAGCCTGTCACTGTTGCTTGATCTTGGCCATGATGTTCCAGGGTGGTGGTGTCAGATTGCAGTCATTTTGTGTGACCATGCATTGTGGTACAAACTTTGAATTTGTTTTGTTGGGGACAGGAAGCCTGTGTCTTACCTTAGGCTTGTATTGAGGTCCCCCTTGATCAAATTACTGACCATTTCCCAGGATACAACCCTACAACAGTTGCCTACTCAGGCTACCTTTTTATTGCTAGGTGAAAATGTGGCCAACCATTTGTGTGTCACCCAGCAATCAAACCTGGAATCCGTGATTGTGAGTTGAGAACAAAACCATCTGTACCATGTTTGCTGTAGATGGCGCCAATGATGACACCTACTGTTTTAAGGGGATTTTAAGCAGCTTATCCTCTGATGCTTCTGGCTCAGGTATTGAGCAGCCATTTTGTTCATCTTCTTGGCTTCTACCATTGGTTCGGATTGCTAAGAACTGGAGGTCTAGGATCTGCAGTCTTTCCAGGTTTCAGGGCTCTGGGAGAACTTATAGCCCAATCTCCAGTTTTTGGCCGTTCTTGGCATCCTGGACGTGATAGTTCTCGTGCATCTGTAGGCCATGCACGTGCATTGCTACCTGCATGCCTGATGCCTCTAGTGCATGGGAGCTTTGGTCCTTGGTCTGGTTTGGTGATCAGCGGTGTTTGTCTCGCCTGTTCTTTCTATGTATGCCCTACTGGTGGCATGGAAGGAGGTTGTCCGAGTTTCTTCTAGCAAATTTTGTTCAGATGTGCCTTGTTGCATCGAGTAATGACTTTAATCCTCGGTGGGTGTGGTCCTTAACCCCTCTGGTGTTGGCTTAGCCGTGAACTCCTCTTCCCCGCAATATCACTGGTAACTTGTTGAACAAGGTGGTGCTCTTGGTGAACCGCTCCTTGCATTGGGTGTCACTCTTTTCCTCTTCTTCCAAGCAGGATACTTTGGAGCCTTGCTTTTTACAGACTGTCTGATCTCTTAGATTCCAGATGGCCATCGTGTGCCAGGTTCCACAGTAATTTCAAGAGACACTCTTGGCCTGTTTTTTCCTGGATCTTTGGGATGTCGATTATACCATATTCGGGCTCTTCTGTTTGGCAATGAACCTCATTTGGTTTAATCATCTCCTAACTCACTAGTGTGTTTCTTTGACTACTTCCATCTTCAGGGTCTCCAAGTTCTGGCTAAGCTCTATGACTGGCTGGGGCCAGATTCATGAAGTAGTTACGCAAGTACTTACAAGCCTGTACATCTTTTCTCAATCTTTGGCGGCTTTGTTTACAATTATTAAACAGTTAATGAGCTCCGAAGCACCAGGAGGCTGTTAACAATAACAACAGTTGATTGGGAAGTTTTCATGCTTGTAAACTGTTTAATAAATGTAATCAAAGATGTCAACGATCGAGGAAAGACGTACGCGTTTGTAAGTACTTTTGTAACTGCTTCGTGAATCTGGCCCCTGGCTGATGGCCATGGCTGTGGTTCTTATTCCCTAATCCCTAAGCTCCCACATCGCCTTATAGAAAAGGCATGATTCTTGTCCTGGGTTCCAGTAAGCAAGGATGGATCTTGAAAGCCTCGTGCATCTGCTCAAGGCTTGGTTGAACCAGTGCTAAGTTTGGGTAGCAACGAAGGGCCCCACCAGAAACGAGCATTTTATTGTAATCAACACTTAATAATGGCAGGTATAAAAAAGCTTAATGTTTGCT